ACTATAAAAAGCCAAATAATTAAAATATGAAATTAGTTAACCATTATGTTGCAACAATGTGAAGAAACAAGATAGTCATTAATATTTGTTCCTCCAAGAATATTAGAAAATAGAAGAGATAAATTCATAATGTTATGAAGCAAAAAGTAGACACAAAACAGCCTGTAAAATATGATATGCACTTATAAATATTTATTTTTCTGAAGGCTACTTGTGTAATGAATCTTAAGAATCAAGTGCTTAAGAATTCTTTCCCTGATTTTTCAAGTTTTCAACTTTTAAACTATTTTCCAAAGTTCCTTCCATGAATTTGCATTATATTTATAAATGGGAAAAATCACAATAAATGGTTTGAGTATTTTTTTAAGCAACCTATGTAGCAATGAATTTGAATTGTTCAGAGACAGAAGTGCTAAAATAAAGAGGTATGTTGAAGTAGTTCACATTTCTTAAAAGGTAACTAGAGACTAAGAATAATATGTATTATTTCATTATAATTTTCACATTATAATAATATCTACCATATGTTATAACAGTATATTGTTCTGTAATACTATAGAGTACATGTGCATACATACAATATTCTAGTATGTGGTTATGCTAGTTTTACAAAGAAGATAACTTAGGTTTAAGAATTCAAAGTAACTTGGTAATAAGGGGTTGAAGTGAATTCTGAACTCGGGCATTTCTGACTTGAAAAAAAAAAAACGTGTTCTTTCTTTTCATCCCATGGTGTAAGAGGTAAAGTTATATAAAACTTTAGAGAAGATTAAATATTCAAGGGATGATCATTGATCTGGCTATAAATTCAAGAGGCAGAAAACAAAATATTAGTTTTTGCTAAGTATTTGGATGACTACTTTTTATACTACTTCTGCTTGATAAATACTCAAAAAGTTTCGATCATACTGCTTGTCCTTCATTTGTCCTTCTGCGCCCTTCGGTGACTGACCTGTCCCTGCAAAGCCAAACGGCTTTGCTTTCAATCCCTTGCCTTGCTCCGGTTTTCCTGGGGCTGTTCACATCTAGCCCTCTTTACTCCCCTGCCCACCCCATGCTGGGTGGTGGACATGAATCTCTTGTCAGTGGCTGCTGTCCAGTTTCCTCTTTGAATCTCCACGCCTCTGGCAAGGCTTAAACTAGACAGCTTCATCAGCATATCAGACATGCTCACCATATTTAAAGGCTTCCTGAAATCCTAACCTCTTCAGGAATTAGAGAACCTGGCATATAGTAAACATTTGTTCTATCCCAAAGAAAGTTGATTCCCTCACATCCAAGCAATTTCTGCCCTCAAGACTCCAAAATATTGCTTAAAACACAAAAAGCAAACATGTCCACCAAAACTTTTTGTGGTGGGTGTGGTGGGGGGTAGGGACTGAATTCAGGGGCACTTTATCACTGAACTGTATCCCTAGTCCTTTCTTTCTTTTGTTTATCTATCTATCTATCTATCTATCTATCTATTTATTTATTTATTTATTTATTCATATCTTGAGACACGGTCTCACAAAGTTGCTGAGGTTGGCCTCAAACTTGTGATTCCTCCTGCCTCAGCCTCCTGAATCACTGGGATTTATAGGGGTATGCCACAGCACCTAGCCCACCAAAATTTTTATAAACTACTCTCATTCTAGGATTTGCTTTTTTCCCTTAGAATGAGCCTACACTGATCTGAGAACTGACTTTAGAATTCCTTTTTAAAAGTATCTGTTTTGCCAGGTGCTCTGTTGAAAGCCTGTAATCCCAGCTACTTGAGAGGCTGAGGCAGGAGGATCACAAATTAGAATCCAGCCTCAAAAATTTAGCAAGACCCTGTCTCAAAATAAAATACAAAGGGCTGGGGATGTAGCTCAGTGATAGAGCAGCCCTGAGTTCAAATCCCAAGTATTGGAAAAAATAAGAAGTATGTATTTAAAATGCTTCTTAATGAGTATGATTTTTTTAATTTGTCTCCAAATTCTTTGGCACTCTTCCTATTAAGATGTGGGCATTGTGTTCCTGTCTGTTGAATCTTAGCTCCGCAATTGCTTGTTAAATAGAGAATAGAAAAGTGATGCTGTTCGTGAGATAGGCTTTAAGAAACTAGCAGCATCTGCTTCCTGCCTCTTGGGATGCACACTGTTGGAACGTAGCCACCATGTGTTTAGGAAGCCCAAGCAGCAAGAAACTCAAATGAAAAGGAATTCAGGCCATTTGCTCTCCACCCCAGCTGAGCAAACAGCTGACCTCTGGCATCAACTTCTCAGGCATGTAAGTGAGCCATCATGTGAGTGAATTCTGCAGTCCCTTCTGTACTGCTGTGTGAAGTAGAGAAACCTTCAGTGTAGAACCCTGCCCAAGCTGCAGATTCATGAGCTAAATAAATGATTTCTATTGTTTCTAAACCACTAAGTTTGTGGGTAGATTGTTGCTCAACAATATGTAACTAGACAATGGCATGCTTGGGTTTTGAAGGTAAGATCTTCTGGATAGAATGTAAAGGGTCTGCATTAGTAGGGCTTAATTAGGTGGCTAAATTGTTCTATAGAATAAATGATAGGCACCTGGCATGGTGGGACACACCTGCAATTCCAGCTACTTAGGCAGCTGAGGCAGGAATATTTCAGGTTCCAGACTACCCTTAGCAACTTAACCAGATCCTATCTTAAAAAAGAAATGGGGTTAGCTCAGTGGTAGAGTGCCCCTAGGTTTAGTTTCCAGTCACACACACACACACACACACACACACACACACACACACACACACAAAACAAAACCAGAAAATCGAAAGTTTGTGAGCCAGCAAACTAGAGAGCAGAGAAAGAGGAGAGCTAAAGGAGAGAGAGAGCTCTAGCCATAGGGAGAGTGGTTGGTGCATCTATGAACACAACAACCAGTGAAAATTACCTTGGCATGGGACTATTAAAGAATAGGAATTCGGTGGTTCAGGTTTAAGGTGTTTGATAATGCAGCTTGCCTGTCATGTGATGGACCTCTTACTAATCCCTATCCTGTTTATCTAAATCTTCAGCAAAATCCTGTCCCCCCACCCCAGCCTGTGAGTCTGGAATACTTGGGATCGGGTCGGTATGCTGTCATAAAAGCTACTGCAGCAATACAAGGCAGAGAACAGTAAGCACCTGAGCAAAATGATGGAGACCGTAGTTTGAAATGCATTGAAAGGAAAAGCTGGAAGAGGTAACTTGAAAACATAAGGTCTGTAACTGAACTCCTTTTTTCTTGTAGGCTCTGTGTACCCCAAGCCCTGGACATATAAGAGGAATCCTGGATATCCTTCTTTCTAGGGTATCGGTTAGAGTGTCTTGGGCTTCAGTCCTAAGACTTAGTGTCTTCAGGTGACTGGTGGATGATTTAATAAGAGATACATCACAGCACTGAGCATCAGTGTGCAGGAGGTATTTAAACTGTGTGCCTGTGGTATCTAGTTTTAAGAAAGATGACTATTATTTTCCTGGGCCTCTAGGTGGCCCTCAGGGACACCTGTTGTCCAGGTAACTCTATGGTGTCAGCAAAGCATCACATACCTGGGTAGGTGCTCCTCAGAATGCTGCCTAGACCAGACTCAGGTTGGTCAGGTGAAATTTTCTGGGTATAGGTAAAAACCTATAAGAGACTTCTAATTTCCAGAGATGTAAGACCATAAACTTGCATTTTCTTAACCACTAAATCTGTGAACATTTCTTGCCACAGCAATAGAAAATGAATTACAATTAAGTGAAATATTGAGTATTTCAGTTAAATGAAGGATTAAAGCTATAAACCAGGAGAAAATGAAACTGTTGAAAATGTCCAAAGGATTGTTTTGTTTTGATGAAGTTACAATAAAGACAAATGATGCATGTTTTCTTTGCAGTCACTTTTACTGGAAAAAAAAAAGAAACAACAAAACATTTTTTTCAAAACAGTCAAAATAAAAAACCAATGCACAAGATTGCACAATCGTTTACAAATGCTGGCAATTAAAGGCAAGTAGTCTAGTCTCACAAGATCCTTGTCTAAGTAGTTTTCTCCATGTGCAATACACTGAAAAGGTAATTCTTGGAGCTGTAGAGTTGGATTCAAAGCCCCTTTAGCCAAGCTCACTGCATTCTGTCATTGAATAACATCAAATCTCAGGTAGGAACTTTTCTACCAAGATTTCTATGTTGATTGTAGTTTAAAATTTCACATTCTTTCCTTATGCCACCAGGTTTATTCATAGTCAGCAGTATAATTCAGTCTTCTCCAATGTCCTTCCTTACATATCACACAATGTCCTCTCTTTATTCATACGTAACTTCTACAGTCTGCACATTCTTTTACAGCCACCACTGTCTTTACTATACAATAATATAATTTATACGTAAATACAGAAATGCATATTTTCATGGGTGGGGGTGGGGGTGGGGAAGGGGGAGAGCCTCCTGTTAGAAAATGCATACAAGTATGGCAGGTAATTCAGGAAACCCAAGGAAGAACTTAACACTAGCTTGTAAAAAGTAATTCAGAAACTTAAAAAAAAAAAAATCAAACTAGATGTGTGTGTGCATGTATGTGTGTGCGTGTGTGTGTGTGTGTGTGTGTTTTATTCTGCACCATTATGAATTAAACAGGAATAAATCTAATGATGTACTCTAGCTGCAACATGAAACACCGAATGCTAACACCTGATAAATGATGCTGTGAACATTCAGTTTTCTTCTGAGATGTGGGGCATACAAAGGAGTCCAATTTTCAGAATCCTCCCCTGGGCCTTGTCCTCATATATGTCACAGATGGACATGATCCCTTTCTAGAGGACGAAAGTCTGCAATTCTGATTAGATTCAAGCTCACCATGTAGCAAATGCTACGTGCTTCATTAATGATTTTATGCACCTGTGAGGTCTACTTGGGACCCAGAAGTTAAAGAATATATAAGCAGTCTCTTGAAAATATATATCTTATCTATGTATCTATCTCCTTAGAAATCATGTAAAAGCCTAACATAGTTTATGGGATTGATTTTTTTATAAGCAGTTTTCTCAAACAAACTTACACATAATTTTCCCCTTCAACAGTACTGATAAAATACAGGGCACCTTTTTCTTTCAAGTATTTGGGTAAAATAACATACCCTGAGAATTTGGGGTGCAAACCTACACCTTGTAAACTGTAGAATGAAACTCCTCAAGCACCACATAGGAAAATATATAGCATGATAGTTTTATACAAAGACTATTGTTGACTGTGTTTTCCCATGCACTTACACAGACTTATCATGAGGTTATAGTCAGTCTACTTAGGAATCAATACTGTCCTGCAGTCTGTAGTCCAAAATATTATTTCGGGTAGCGTGAACATTCAATTTGTAGCAAACACAGACTTTCATTTCTATGAAGGATGAAGACAATCAAAATGCATTAAATCTTGTGAAGAAGCAAAGATGATAAAGTCAAATCTGAAATTAAGAAAAAGGAATTTCTATCACTTGATGTTTCCTAGTGATCTGAGGACAAATTTGAAATTCAGGTTAATATTTGAGAATTATTTTTATAATGTTTTCAAAGTGTAATTTTTTAGCTTATTTACTCAGTGATAAACATACAGAAATACTATATCCTGAGTCTTTACTGGTGTTTCTGGGCTTCATTTAATCCTGAGTGCAATTTCAGTGAGTGTTTTCAGGAAAATACATTCTGGAGAATACAATTTTCATATGGATTACAGATGTGTTCAATTTTTCCAAAAACTCTCCAAATGGGCCTATTTCAATGTGGCCTTTCACCAACAGGAAAAAAAAAATAGAGGAAATGGGTCAAGATTTGTACACAGAGTAATCTGTGATTTTTCTAGAAAAGTGAGCCACACCCATAACCCTGAGTGGAAATCACAAAAGCCAGACTCCACAATTCTGATTAGATTCAAGCTCAAGGCTTTCTTTAGGAAATGCTTTATTCGTGGTTTATGTAAATAAAACATAAATCGGGTCTCAGTGGCTATAGAACATTGTTGGGGTAATAGTTTGAGGGCTTCCTAGACTTTTGTTTTGTTCCATTTTTGTTGAAAAGGAAGGGCATAATCACTTCATTCAAATGTCCATGCAACCTCAAGAAATGACTAAGCAATGAAAAGGAGGATGGAAATTTCCCTTACGCCTGTGAAAACGTTCTTTTCCTGTCTTAGGGGAGTAAATGGCCTACAGGTTTGTTTGGTATGATGACATTACCACTAGCCGATATGGAACTCACAGAACAGCAACTTCCCCATGGACTCAGCCTCTCAGAGCCAACAAATGAAAAGTTCTTTCCCAGTTTCTATCCTAGTTTACCTCAGTGTGAGAACCCAAGGCTCAGATCTGCTGGTGATAAATATCGGTAAATAGCTAATGAGCAGCTCAACCCTCAGCCTTACCCCATTCTCTAGGGAAGGAGTGTTCCCCATTTGGAGGAACTGGCAAGTAGCCATGGCTCAGTGCGGCCACTGGGCTTTCTTGAAAGTCCCCTGTTTTTTAAACCAGTCTCACATCTTGTAACTGTACATATTGTACGCCCACGCCCTATGTAAGTTTCACTACTCAAGGTCAAATACTTGAGATTTCATGGTGCTGATTTGAGGGTTCATAGTCTGAAATTTTTAAAACGAATGCTACTTTCTTGTTTCCATATGAAGCGACCTTATTTCCAACCAATCTCTCTCAAAAATGAAGAAGCACTGATGCTTTAAGATTCCCGCCCCCCCCCAGTGGTGAAAAATTAAGTTCTGGAGTGAATCTACTCATGTACCTGGGTAAGAAAACTTCTATAATAAAGAAAAAGTGTTTTCCCAAATATGGCACAGAGCTTCTTCTCCATACAGAGACTATGCTTCATATTTCATGTCTCATGRAGATGAAAGCTTCATTTCACAGCTCATTGGCCCAATGAGTAATTGAATTGTGGTGAGATTTCCTGTGTCAAATATTTCTCTTTACACAAAAGAACTTTTTATTTTTTTAATGAGATTCCCGCTAAGAAATCCCCTGAAAGTGCCTTTGTTGTTGTTTTTTAAAAAGTCTAGATGAGAAGCATAATTACAGAGTAATAAGATTATATTAATCATATAAAATCCAGTCTCATGAATTACATATAATTCTGTGGCTTTGAGAGCAATTGTTAAGCTGAAACCAAATATTGACAATCATTCATATCAAAATAATGCTTCTGAAAAATTACCAAAATGCCTTGGCTTTAAACAAATAAGTTAATAAAAGGAGACTCCTGAAAGACAGTCTGGGAGAATTGTTTGGCTTTTAAAGGGATATTTCTTTAGAAAGGAATTAAGAAATATTTCAATGTAACATCTGTTGAGTGTATATTGACACCTTATAAATCATGACAAGTTAAATAAGTATCTGTTCAATCAGCCCTTCAGACTCACTGTGAACACTCACTCAAATAGCCTTCAGAATTGGATTACAACGGAGGCAATATCAAATGTCAGTGAAAGATCCAGTGATTTGGATTTTTTAACATCTCTTAAAACCTGCCTCATAACAAGCAAGCACTGTAATTCTAGGTTACTGCTTTGGAGAGGGCCAGGGCTAGAGGGAATTAGAGCCCCTGAATTAAGAGTTCACATTCTACTCAACTGCCCCAAACAGGTCACTCTTCAGACTCCAGTCTGTGAGAGACAGGAGTGTACAACTATGGAGGGAATCACAAGGAAAAAAAAGGCTACACACTCATAACAAATGTTGGATTTTTTAAAGGGAAATAGATATTTTATACCTTTCTGAAACAAAGAACTTAATTTTAAATGCAGTCACTGACTTTCCACTGTTCAAAGCCAATCTATTTTAAGGCAACAAATAGTGTCATGGCATTGTACAAGTGGGAAAAAATTAAAAACAAAGCACAAAAGTTAAAACCATTGTTTTCCACAATCACATTTGAAATCATCCCAAACCCAATAAAAGAACACAGAGCACAAACAAGAGAAGGTTTAGCTGATATATGATTCCAAGAGCAGACCCAATATATTTTACACCTAAATATGTGCTACAACTCTGCCAGCTACATTTGATAGAATCCAAGAACCTGTAAGGTGATTTGTGATCCAAATTACTGATTTGCTCACTTTGTTTACAACAGAAGCCATCCCATTCGGTTGTGGGTTTTGGTTGAAGCATGGCAAACACTTAAGGGATTGTTTGCCTAGTCAGAAGTGCAAGAGGGAGGGAGGAGAACAGAAAGCTTGTCTCTTGTATTAAAGTATAAAAAGAAATAGTTTTACAGGGGAAAAAAATGCAACCATTCAATCATCTTAGTGAAACTTAAATAACAAAACTGCCTTTAAGAGAATTGTTCAGGAAAATATGAAAACTTACACACTTGGTTTATAAGAAGCAAAAATTAAGAATTACTCATGTGGAGGACATTTTTCAGCTGGATTCATAGTGCTATTACATTTCAACTTTTAGAGAGTCTGTATTTCTGTCTTGCTCCTACAAAAAAAAAAAAGTCAAAGAAAAGATGGTTAGTTCTAAACACACATCTCACTTTCAAAGAATCAAGAAAAATGTCAAAATATATTTTATTTATTCTTTAATCCAGTTTCATGATAAATAATGGTGAAGCCTACATTTTAAAATGTATGTGTCAAGAAGAAAAACAATTAGACATTACTCTGACTTTAAGAAAATGCCCTGAGGTGGAATTTCTCTTTGAAAATTGAACTATTCAAAAAATAGTTTTAGAATTAAGTGTTTAGTTTCATTTAAATTATGTATATCAAGGATAAGACAATATAATATATGTTCCTAAAATTAGCAGGCAGAATTGATATTTAAACTAAATGGAAACATTTGAAATTAACTATGAGTCAGTAACCTAATAAAATGAATAAACTCTACACTAAGGATTCTTGTAAAGTAAATGACCACTAATGAAATTATGTGTAATTACACACAGTGCCTTTGGCTTTAAATAAAATATACTGATTATAACCTATAACTTATTTACATCTGTTCTAGTTCAGCACTGGCAGAGTCAAAACATACTCAAAGTCAGACCTTTCTTTCTGTTTTTTTTTTCTATATAATTTTGTAGATCTATTAGAACTTTACTGAAGGAATACATTTTTAACACCTGAGAGCTGATATTCGGACTTAATATTATGAAGATAGAAATAGATTGGACTACAGGTAGTATTTGTTAGGGATTAAAAAGACTCTATCATGGGGAAAATAAGCTGCAAGTATTATCAAATAACAACTATCCAGCCAATTATATGCAAGGGATCAAGGCAAGGGATATTTTAATCCTGTCATCTAGAAAAAGATCTGTCTAAATACATGCTTAAGAAGGACATCTATAGGAATAATTATGGTTTTATAGCTCATGCATATATTTCACATATATTTTATTGTTTCATATTTTATGAGAAATAACCTTCATGAATTTTTTGTGTGTTTGGAGATCTCTTCTTTGCTAAACTAATTTTTCAACCTTACAACAAATAGATTAGTAAGAGGAAAAGGGGAGGAGAGCCGGGCACAGTAGCCCACACCTGTAATCCCAGTGGTTTGGGAGGCTGAGGCAGAAGGATAGCTAGTTCAAAGCCAACCTTAGCAATTTCGTGAGGCCCTAAGCAACTCAGTGGGACCCTGTCTCTAAATAAAATACAAAATAGGGCTGGGGATGTGGCTCGGCGGTTGAATGTCCCTGGGTTCAATCCCTGGTACCAAAAAAAAGTGGGGAGGGGAGGACTAAGAGACTAAGAATAATAATTTCAGTGTGGATCAGGGATTTGACAATAACTCTGGCTGTGTTCTCTTCCAAGGCAAGGTTTGTAAAGATTTGAGTACTATGCAAAAACACCAAGAGGGTGGTGGTCTATACTCTGGAACAATGACAATGAGAAGTGGAGGAGAAATCTGTTTATATAATCTACTAGGATCATATCTGGGKATCAGTGGAGTAGATTTCGCCTGTTTGGATATTCATAGGATATTGCCTCTATTTCCATTAACTTCAGAGATATTTTGTTTGAAAGTAATGTATCTTTCATATCAAAAGTCATTTGATTTCATGAAAGTAATAAAGTTGTTTCAAATTTTATTAAAGATAAAATAGTAGGAATTGCCAAATTAACCCATCAGAGGCCTCATGAACACTGTGTCTGTGTGTGTGTGTGTGTGTGTGTGTGTGTGTGATAATAGATCATAAAGAAGTCAGCAGAGATAAAGGGGAGACTGTACTGTGTTACCAAGGAGTCTGGCTGGATGATTCTCTACAACTTTAGAACCAGGACACATGACAGAGTTCAGCAGGGATGCTGGGTCATATTTTCCCTTGCTCCACACAGCCCTGTGCCCAGACAGAGAGGAAAATCACCACACACAGTTGGCAAGCTAGGCCCAGAGTTGTATAACATTCTGGAAGGCTATGGGGGATACTAGAGTACCCTGATGCACAGCCAACTAGCCTGCCCTGAGGGGACTGTTGGGCTGAGGGCATTGCCTTCAACTTGGGGAAATACAGAGCAATCCTGGGCACAGGCCCTGATTTGGCTCCGGGTGTCTGCAAAGACAAGGGCTGAACTTTGCTGTGATGGAGGGCCCTGAGAAGATGAGAGGAGCTTGAGGCATTTATGAGGCTCCAGTCTCCAGAGGATGAACACTTACTATGTGCCATGAACTCTGTGCTATGTCCTCTGTAGTGGGTTTATAATTCAGTCTTCACAACTGTCGTTTAAAAAGTATCCCTGTTTTAGCCGTGCGTGGGGGGTGCATACTCGTAATCCCWGTGGCTCAGGAAACTGAGGCAGTAGGATTGCAAGTTCAAAGACAGCCTAAGCAATTTAGCAAGGCCTTAAGCAATTTAGCAAGACTCTGTCTTAAAAAAACAAAACAAAAAACAGCTAGGGGTGTGACTCAGTGGTTAAGTGCCCCTGAGTTTAATACCTGGTACCATCGCCCCCAACCCCACAAAAAAAAAGTATTACTATTTTGTAGATGAGGAGACTGAGGCTCAGGGGAAGCAAGTTACTTGCCTAGATTAATAAATAACAAAACTTGAGTCAGGGTTGCATGACTTCAAGGAACATGTACTTATGTTTTAGTCACAGCCACACAGCTCCCTTTGACTGTATTTTAACCCCCTGCCATCCAGGGACTTCCCACGCTCACCTGCACAACCCACACCTTGCTCTCCTTACACACACACACATACAATATCTCATCACAGGAGCCATCACCTCTGGGCATCCTGAAACTGGCTAAGATTTCTACTTGGGGCATAAAATGTTCTAAGAACAGCTAATTTTCTAATCAAAAGAAAAACACATATAGAGATTTAGTATATGTGAGACATTATCAGATTTGGGATCAATTTTTTAACTTATTTCCTCCTCGACCTTTCCTGCCCCTTCTCTGAAACCCAACACACACACACACACACACACACACACACACACACACACACACCAAGGCAGTGAAATGACTAGCAGATTCTATGTACTTTTGGATAGGATTTTCATTTTCCTTTGAATGAAACTGAAGTTAGGAAAATCAGCCAGTCAACCAACAGCTGTGCTTTCTCCTCCACAAGGACGTAAATGTGTCACGCAACTAATCCTTTACCAAGCTGATTGACCAACAGGCAAAAGGCAGTAGCTGCAAAATTTTGGAACAAGCTGGGTAGAAAGACAGACCTGACACAGAAAGTACAGATAAGGGAAGAGAGACAATTCACAATAAAGAAAAAGAGAGCAGAGAGTAAAAGAAGTTGGTGAGCAACGAGTTCCTCTATAATAAGACCATGAGGATCTAGGATGAGTTCTCTTTTGGTTGTCAAAGAGGAATTAAAAATGCACCCACTTGCTAAAGAATCCAAAGGCATGATGTTAAGTCTTGGCATATAATAAATGACCGATACACATCAGATATTAGTTTTTGTCTTTTTACTAACCTTAGGGTAGGGAAGAAAATATCAAAAAATAGAATTGTGGAGAAAGGCACAAAATGGTACGCGGGAGGGAGGCTTCCCTCCAATAAAATTGATGGGGAAAATGAAAAGGCAAAAAGACATCAAGAATAGAATAAAACGAATTAGCAAATTTTTACAATGATTGAGAAAGCAAAGTACAACCAAGTTAGAGGGAAAGCAGAAATAAATTCATTATTTCATGAGTGTAGTTGTGGGGGATTAAGTGAAGACAAAACATGGAGTTTACAGCTTCCATCCACCGGGTCTCGAGGGGCAGTCACAGTTCTGTCCTTCCCATGACCCATCAGGGAGATGCTCAAATGAGGGAGCTGGCAAGGCCCACCCCGCCCTGCCCTTCAAGCTGTCCAGTCTGTGATAAAAACAAACTACAGGCAGAGAGGAGGGGGAAGACACAGTGGGGGGCACTGAAGTCAATTATGCTGAAGTGAATGCGAAATGAGAAACACCATAAGAAAGAAATGGCAAATACATAGAAAAGAGCCCAAAGTCATTTCTCAAACACACACAGCAAAGGAAAAAGGGAACAGTGGGACAGAAACCAGGAAATAAGACCATCAAAGAAAAGTGGCCTTAAGGAAAAAGAGAAGCAGAAAGGATCAGTAACCAAAACAGACCCTGGTATAAATATTCAGGGTTTCAGTCTCAGCTCCAGAGGGACATTGTGACTGAAGAAAAGACTCGGTTCCCTCCTGCAATCGTAATACGAAAGGACTGGATTGGGTCACCTGAGGACTCCTCTGGAGCCCCTTGGAATACCCCATGAAAACAGCTCTTCTCGAATCCAGCTCTGTCTTCCACTTCAGTGGCTGATGTGTGGAGCTCTGTTTAGGGGGTAGCAATAAATCAAGGAGAAAAGAAAACACCAATAATGTAGGAGCAACATGAAGCACACTCAGAAATGAAGAAACAAAGCCTTACAGAAAAAAAAAAAAAAGGAGGGATGTTCAAATGAAAGAAAATTATTGCAATTCGCTTAGACTGGTACCTCCTCTGTTAGCAAGCAGTGCATCCGTTAGTTTCCTTTTGTTAGTATTACATGCTTATTTTATTTTTATGTCCTTATAAATGGTATTTAGTATCAAGTCTCAATTAAAAATTTAAAACAGAGTTTTGCCTTCCAAGTGGGTGGACAGGAGAAAACATGAGAATGAATGTCAGGAGAGGGAACAGCACAGCCACGAGTCTCAAATGACAGAAACCCAAAACAAAGTCGTCCATCAAAAAGCATCAAAGATCCAAAATATACAAACAAACACAAAAGTCATCACAAAAATAGACTGGTGAGGTTTTGCAACTGATGTGCCTGGCACACTGGTGTGTTTCCAATGGGCTGCCTCTGTGGCTATGTGACCCCTGGGYCACCGGGTACTGAGTGGTGAACTGCCTTGTGCAATTGTCACAATGAGCAATGGCATTACTAAATAATAATAAAATAAATATATGTTACTAATTATCTTTTTAGATAGGTGTGGCCTAGCAAAATTTGAGTACTGGAATATTGACCACAGGATGAGGAGAAGCGAGAAAAATCCACCCATGAAAGGAAAATTCCTAAGGGGGTCATCAGAAAAAGGAGAGCTGGTAGTGCTCAAATATACACCAGGAGGAAAGAAGGAAAGCTCCCTGTTACAATGTAATGCTAAAAATAGATGGTGAACTGCTTATTCTCTGAGCTGGAAGGAATCTTAAAGGTTATGACAGTTCTTGAACACGGGGTTTGCAGTTTTGTGTGTAGACGTCTTCCTCCACTGCTGGAGTGTAGTCTCCTGACTTGTGGAACCRCCTTGGGTCACATGTGGGTTTACAGCCTTGCCGCAGAGTGGCTGATGAAATGCAGGCACGGAATTTGTGTTCATTGAATGAATGAGAAAACTGGTACATTTCCTTCAAATGTGTATTTTACAAATGTCCAGAAAGGCCAATGGAAGTGTAGATGGTTAATGGCCAATTGTCACTAGGGATCCCAGATGTCCTTGCTGGCAGGTCAAAGCTCACCATATCTTCTCTGCCAGCTCTCTTTTACTCTATGCATCCTACTAAGGAACATCAAGAGTGTCCTTGCAGGGATTGTGGTTGGCACCGGAATGAAGAATCAATGCCAAAAGTCCTGGTTCTCTCACTCTCTGGGAACTTCAGCAAAATTATCTCTTTTGAAGTCCCAGTTTCCTTCTCTGTGAAATATTGTGACTGGATCAAATCATGTATGCAACTTTTCAGTTGAACTGAGGACACAAAACCCTACGCTGGGAAAATCCCTGCCACCAGGAAAATCCACAAGACAACTCAGTTTTTCAAGGAAATATTGAACTGAGACCATCTTCCAAGACTTTTCACACTGACCAATCACACAAGCATTAGTCAATGTTTTGAAACATTTGAACAATGCTTTAAATTTTTTCATCCTGAGAAAAGAACTACCCGCTTTTTAAAAAAATCTGACTTTAAAAAAAGATGGCAGAGAACTTTCAAGAGGGTGAGTTTTGAAAGATTTTAATTCATATCTGAATTTGATTGACTTCATTTTTGCTTGTACACAAAAAAAGCTAACATTGAGTCCTTTTTTTTAGAGAATTTTTTAACACTTATTACTATTTTTTTTTTTTTTTTTTTTTTTTTTTTAGTTTTTGGCAGACACAACATCTTTGTTTGTATTTGGTGCTGAGGATCGAACCCGGGCCAGACGCATGCCAGGCAAGTGCGCTACCGCTTGAGCCACATCCCCGCCCAAACATTGAGTTCTTGATGAATCATTAAATCAAGAAGCCAGCCTGTGTCTAGCTTTTGGGCTATTTACTACCATAAAGATTGTGCTTTCAAAAAGGGAAAAAAWTATCAAAAATCATTTTTCAAAGATGCAAAAGTGTGATTTATATCTGTGTCTGATGGAAAAACTCCAARCCTAATCTCTCCAGACTCAGCAGACAGAAGAAGGTCCAAGGCTTCTGCTAGGCAGACACCATAGGAGTGTGTCCCAGTTATGATCCCTCCTCTGCTCTCTGCCCCCCTTTCCCTTGCTGCTGTACTTCTAGGGCTTCACAAACGCCTTGTAGGATTAGCTGGTCCAAAATAGCCCTAGGTAAACATACCACCTGTCCAGGAGATTAGAATGCTTTTGCCTATGGGCTCCTTTTTTCCTTCTGCAAAACTCATCCTCAATTCTGAGTTTTCTCCACTTGCATATTGATTTTTTTCTTTATTTTGTATGCCAAACAAAAGATGCATTCTTTATTCCCTCCACTCCCAGCAATTTATGAACATCACACAATTCCTGTTGAAAACTCTTGGAGAGGAACAATAAAAATCACCTATTTCTAGTTTGCAACTAAAAGGAGTCTTGTGCTTTCCCCTGGATTCTTGGTGAAAGTCCTAAGGATTTTTGAACAGTGCCTACTGCTGTCTTACAGTCCAATAAATGTGATAATATAGAGAAATGATCCCTTAATTTGGAAAAAGTTTTATAACTTACAATGCACTGCTCAAAAATGTGACACGCAGCTACATATTGAGAGACACACACTAGGGATAACCCAGCAATGCTAGAGTCTGTCACGCCACAGCTAACATAGCTGGTGAGAAGGTGTATGACTTTTGAGTCAAGTGAACCTAATTTCTAATTGAAATTTCTTTCATTGCACAAAACAGCAGCGTTCCTCTGCTCCTTTTCAGTCACACGAGGAAAGAAAAATGAGGCTTATTTCTACTATAGAGGCATGAGTGGGATTTTTTTTTCTTACTTCAATCTTCTTTTTTCATTCACTGACATCTTACTAAAGAGTGAAAGTCCTACCTAGAAGTATTTGTGATCTCAACTCTTCCCATTCTGAGGAGTACAGGAATAAGAAGGGCAAGCTTGTCCCCACTGTTCTGAGATTTTTACGCTCTTGTCTGAAGGTGTCTTTGCCCAGTCTCATGTGTTTGACCTGAAGTGTCCTGGTTCAGACCAGCCAAACTCACTCCTCATATCAAGTTCCAAGGACTGTATTTACAGCAGGGATTCCTGTCTGTGAGTATGGATTAWCCTAGGTGTCAGGAATCTATTTTTTCTGATTTCCTTTGCAGAGGGGTCAGCAATGAAGTTGATTTGTTTCTGAAGGGAGAGAACATAGATATGAAATGAGTGCCCTTCGGGGATTAGCCATGGAGCATGATCAATTCAGTCAGAATAGGACTAAATTAACTCCATCCAAAGAACAACTGCATCTCCAGAATCTCCCCCTTTCCTGGAGGTTAAAGTGCAAAACTTTGGGGGAGGGAGGCAGGAGCTAAGATACATTAAAGACCTTGTACTTGCCCAAAGAAAATGTGTTCTGATCATTTGAAAACCAAAAAGCAATACACTCCCTTTGTATAAGAATTTTCAAAAGGAAAATGAGGGGGGGGGAAGAGGAGAGAGAAGCATTTCTGCAGATTTTAGTAAACCTTCCTACCATGCAAGCAACAGCCTTGGACTCCTCTTACTTCTTGGGGAGCAAACAGATTAAAGGTGTCCAGTGATCTGAAATGTTAGTGCCTGTCACTGTGCTGTCAGAAACTGTGGGGCTTGCTGTACAATATCCAGACCAGATTTTCATTTCTTTTTCCTGCCAAGTTCTACCAAAGGCTGAAGGGACAGATGGAAGGTTCCCTTTCCTCTTATGGGGGGTGGGGGGGGGGAGAAACACTCAAGCATTTTGAAAAAGTAGAAGGGGAAAGGCTGGTAAAGGGGACAGAGGAGTCGGGAGAGAAGAAACCTGGAGAGCAAATGAGCTCCTTCAGACATCACATGGGATTTAGTTTTATTCTTCCAAACTACCTATTTCTAGAGACCATCTCTTTGGCTGTAAATCTCCCACTTCAATCACCAAGAAACGGGATTGTTCTTGCTCTCCTAATCCTGACTATCAAAGTAAAATTCACTCACCAGCAGCTGTTCCAATCTGCTTTCTGGTGACTTCTCGTCATCTGTGTTCCACCACAAAGCTCATGGTGGTGCCATCAAAGGAAGGGGGAGCAATGATCCGCGGTCCCAGGGGCTGCGAAGTGATGCTGATGACAGGTTTGCCGTGCAGCTGGGCGAAGCCCTTGGCTCCCACCAGCTGGGATGTAGCTGCTGGGGCTGAGGAGGAAGAGGTGGCAGGAGACTGACCAGAGGCCATGAAGTAGGGGGCCTCTGTGAAAGTTGCAGCTGCCTCTTTGTTGTGCGGTTCTGTCGCCATTGAGAGCTCACCACCCCCTGGAGGGTGAGCAATTGGTGTGGGCTGCAGAGCATTGGTGGGCAGCATTGTGGGCAGAAACCCAGGGTAGATCATGTAGGTGGGTCCATAGGCCCCAGGACTCAGGGCCAAGGGAGGCACAGGGAGGGACATGGGAGTCACAGCCTGCTGCTGGGAGGTTATGGGCACATCCACATACTGCCCTGTCTCAGGGTCAAATAGTCTCCGAGTCATGGGCTGTACTGGTGTGTCCACCAGATAGTACTGGCCCGTGGTCACATCCAGGAGCATCTTGCGCTGAGTTTGCTGAGGCGGTGACTGCTGGAAGGGGTCTGTAGGAACAGCAGCTGGGCCTGCAGGAGCTGGGGCAGGCATGCCTGGTGGTGAGAAGCAGAGGACTTGAGGTTGGGCACCCTGGAGGGTAAAGGGCAGTGGCTGCTGATGGTAGATGGCAGTGGGTGTATGCTCGGGGCTCTGTGGCCCTGAGCGGGCAGCTGCTGCTGTCTCCCGGGGGTTGTCAGGTTTGGTACGCCAAGCTGGCCGGCTGGTTCCACTGACCTGAGAGCCCTTGGGGCTACTGGAGACCTGACTTCGGGCACTCAGTGGGGGTAAGCTGCAGAGAGTGGCAGCTGAGGAGATGGGGCCCCCCTCTCTTGCAGCACCAGGTCTACCAGGTAACTCTCCTGCAGCAGAGGTTCCCTTAAGGGGGATAGTCAGGTAGTTCTCACAGTCACTATTGCTCTTCTCCAAATTGATGCCACTTTTCCTGTTGGTCGCCTCATTGGGTGGTGCCTGGGTGGCCGGAGAGATCTTGAGGGACCGGAGTCCCTGTGATTTGATGCCCTTGACCACTGAAGAGCTCTCTGGAGAAGGCCCTTGTGGGAACTTGCCAGCGACACCCCCAGTTTTCTGAGTGCTACTGGCACTCACTGTGAACACGTTCCGGTTGCTGGGGAGCGGTGGGAGGGGCTGCAGAGGCTGGGTTCTTTCCACATCTTTGTGGACAGGGGGAATATAGAGGGATCGGGGCCTTTCCCTGGCCATGTTCTCAAAGGCGGCTGCCCGGGCAGACACACTCTCGGTGCTGGGGTTGGAGTTTCTCCTCTGCAGACGTTCCACGGGAGCCCCTCTCAGGACCACAGCACCTTTGTTTCCGGCACCTCGTTCTTCCACCTCACCTAGTCGTTTGGCCAACTTGTCAGGGTTTCCCTCAGGACCCACCACCCCTTCCCTCTCCTCACTAGCAATGAGTGACAGGACATGACTGTCTGTCATCATGGGCAAGGGATCACTTTTCCGTTTCCACTCATTCCTGTTGAAACTGTACAGCTCTTCCATGGATCTCACTGCAGCAGTCAGCTTCTCCAGGGCATTTCGGGCTGGCTTTGGGGTTTTACCTTCCTCCTTAATGTCCTCCTCCTTGGTTTTCTCTGGGGTCTTCTGAGCAGCAGCCTTGGAGACAATCTTGAGCACAGGCAGGTATGAGCCCTGCTCAGGTTTATTGGGGGCAATGGTGGCCACAGGCAGCCTGCCAGATGCCCTGTGAACCAAGACCGTCCCTTCTGGAGAGGAAGAGTTCATGATCCTGCTGCTGTTCCCTTTGCCCATGCCTTCCCTGGGCTCCCGGTCCATGCTGTCTTCTCTCTGGTTCACTACAGCCTGGCACGTAATTACCATGGGAGACAGGGATCTGGATCCACCAGCTGCAGGAGCCAGCTGCCTGGGCTTGGACCCTGTCAGTCCCTGCTCTGGAGTAATGCTGCCTTTGTCACTGCTGTCCCCTGATCCTTTGATTAGTTTTCTGACATCTCTCACCTGGTGGAGGGGCCCTTGAGCCTTGGACTTGTCTCTGACATCTCTCACCTGGAACTGGGGCACTTTTTCCAGATTGTCCCCACGGAACAGTTTCTGCTGTGCCCTGCTGTTGTCCTCAATGGTCTTAAAGAGGTTAGAAGCGCTGCCTCCAGCCAGCTTGGGTGTGAGCAATTTGGCAATATTGAAGTCCGAGCTTGGCTGTTGGACGCTCCCCAGCCGGATCTTGATTTCGGGAGCCTTGGGTCTGATCACTGCCGTGGTTGTGGCCTGGGCAGCAGGGTACTTGGTGGCCTGCTTCCCTGGCTGCTTGTCCTTGGGCGTCTGCTGGATGTTGGGGACAAAGAGACGAGACATGATGGTGGACTTGCTGGCAGAGATCTCCCCGAGATCCGCCCTCCAGTCCCCGCCTTTGGGGAGCTTCAGCTTCCCAATGGGGGCTTTCTCTTCCCGCTTCTCCGCCTCTTTCTCCTTCCATGACCGAAAAGCACTGTTCTGACTGCGGAGAAAGATGCCTTTCACAGTCTCTGAGGCACTCTTTTTAATTTCACACACTTCCGTTTGTCCATCAGTGAAACTCCGGCCAGAACCTGCGTTGCCTTCTCGAGGAGTACTGGCTTTGAAAATTGGGGATTTAGACCCCTCCCCACCTGCGTCAGACACACTGACCACCGTGTACTCGGAACCCGCCTCTGAGTGGCGGGAATTCTGCCGCTGCAAGCCCCTGTCTCGCAGTTTCTCAGCCCCAGAAGACCCCTCTGCTTCCTTGGAGGTGTGATGAGATGTGTCAGTGACTTCCCCCCTCTCCATTTTAAACTCGTGCTCCCGTTGCATCTTCTTGGAAATGACATTTTTGAGCAGACTGGATGCAAACTTGGACTTCTTGTGGGGGCCTTCACCGCGGGGGGCAGGCTTGTTGCTTTCAGAGGTCTCTGAGCCATCATCTGTGCACACCGATCCAGGTCCCTTGCTGGAGCCCTTGGTGGCCCTGCAGGGTCCAGTGGCCGAGCTGGCTTTGCTTTCACTGCGTAAATTCAGGGGTTCCAGAAGGGTGACGACGCGAGAACCCGTTTGGATCTGTTTCTGGAAACACAAGGGTGTCTCCACGTGTTTGATTTCCCCCTCGACTTTGCTGACCACAAACTCCAAGGCCTTGGTCTGGGACTTCTTGGACTGGATGTAAAGCTGGTCTGCAGTACCACGGGCCCCACTGCCCTTCCTCAGACCTGCAGCCACAGAGGCCGCGCTGCTCCTGAGAAGGCTCTGTTCCACCCTGGCTCCAACACCTCCACATTTTAGGTCCAGGAAGGTTGACCAGCGTCCAAAGCCCACTTCGGAGAGGGTGGTGGAGGACTCACGGGAGCTGATGTTCAGAGCCTCAAAGTAGGGGTAAGCAAGGCTCCGGAAAGCTCGGGAGGTCAGGTTACGCACCTCTTTGTCTGCATCGTCCAGTTCGCTCACGGCACTGGAGGCTCCGCTGGAGTAGTCCACCAGCTCCTTTGCCCGTATGGCCCCGCACCTGGTTTGCAGGCGAGCAGGGACAGCAATGAATTTCTTTGCATGGTCCTGAGCCACGGCTGCAGCCGAGTTTTGCTTCAGTGAACTTGAATTGTGTTCAGCAGCTGTAGAGACTCGGAGGCTCATGTCGCCTTCATGCTTGGCAGCATAAATAATGTTTTGCTTTGCACGCACGTTGCTAGGCTCATTTATAGCCCGGGAAGTTGGTTTGATTGATAGGAGGATCTGGCTTGCTGCACTCCCACAGCTGCTGGCGGTGGTAGCGGCTGCCCCTGAAGCTGCCTCCCGGAGCTCCAGCAAAGGCTCAGGCAGGGTGGCAGTGCCAGGCCCAGTGGGTGGGGGAGTAGGGTCACTGTCGGAGGGGACACTGCCCACTTCCGTGCTGCTGGTGTCACGACCACTGCTGCCTGCACTGAGGCGAGCCAGGTCGCTACTGGTGGGGCTGGGTGTCCGGGTGGCATTGGTGCTGGGAGTGGTGCTGAGGTAGCAGCTGTTGTCGTCGTCCTCTTCGGTGGGGGTGGTGACGTCCCCTGGGGTCTCGTCGCTGCCACCAAAGGAAGCATAATCCACGAACGAGTAGATCACGTTGTTGTCCTCGAAATCCCAGCGGGAGGCCAGCCCCACGTCGAAATCCATGTCCTGCTCCACCTCACTCAGCTGGATCTCATGGGTGGTGATGTAGTGAGCCTCTTCATTTTTGGGGGGGTCCCTGTTACTCTGGGACTTGGCAATAATGTCCCTGCACTCTGTTCCATCTCCTGCCCTCCCTCCCTCTTCCTGCCCTTCTCCTCCTCTTGCTTTTTTCCCTACTTCTCCTCCCTTGGGTGGGCAACTCACTTCGCTCTCACTCTCAAAGCCTAAGGATGAAGAGGAGGTAGCCAGAGCCGCCCCGGATGATGTGGCGGATTCATCCATTTTGGAAAGGCCATGGTCTTCTGCTTTGTCCACAGGGGAGGAGCAGGAGGAGTTGCCACCCTCATCAGTGTGGGAGAGTTGGGAGCTGGAGCGTTCTGAGGAAGCAGGGTTCTTCTGGGGGATTGGAGTCCTGCACTCTGGACTAGTGGGCTCATCCTGGGCTTTCTCCTTTGGGCTCCTAGAGGCTTTCTGATCCCCGGAGCGGTGTTCCAGTGTAAGTTTCACTGTCYGGGGACTCGCCCTCTGGATTCTGGCTGAAGCGCACATCTCCACATATTTTGCTTCTCGCTGGGAGGAGGCTGAAGGCTGGGGAAGTGGCCGCAGCTGCTGCAGGCGCTCCCGGCTGTCTTGCTTTCTGCTCACTGGATCCTGTACTTGCACCAGTCTGGCCTGCGAGTTCGGCTCAGGAGTGGCGGCTTCCATTCTGAGTCCTTGCCCAGGTTCCAGCCACAGGAAGAGGCAGTGGTGAGCACCCGGGCTGTCTTGGGTCCCTCTTTGGTCCTGGAGGGGCCGCAGTGTTGCCTGAAGCAGGGTCCCACGTGCCTGGACTGGCCCCAAGGCTGGAGGCACCACTGCCACTGCTGTCACCACCTCCCAGGTCTTCAGCCCCTGTGGCGGGGCTGAGGCAAGGCAGAGGGAGGTGGGAAGGCTCCTGGATGGGGCGGCAGAGGTGGTCTGTGGCTGGGGGGCTGCTGCTCTGGCCGAGACTGCAGCCTGTGACTTGTGGCTGAGCTGGCCTGTCCAGTTATTTGCCTGGCACCGTGGGCAGCTGGGGGTCTGAATGCCATCAGCCACGGAAGAAGCAGCATCTGTAGGTCGACCCCTGGACTTCCAGAAATGAAAGCAAAGCATGTGCTGTTTCTTGTGAAGCCTTGTCCCTTTCCTGGATGGGGCAAGAGAGGGTCACGTCATTCCAGAAATATTTTTAGTGTCCATTCCCTAGTCATCTCAAAACCACACTTGAGGGAAGAGGGTAGAGATGAAAAGAGGCTGGGGGTGGAGGGATGAGGGTTCCAATTCAAATCAACCAAATGTTCTATGTAATCTATTATAGAGATGTCTAGCAAGTATGCAATTATTCTTTACCCGCTGCCATCTTTCTCTCCCGAGCCTCTGATTAAATGGATTTTCCCCCTTGTTCTGAAACAAAAATTCAGATTTTTACACTGCACTTCAAACCAATTGAGGACATTCTGGAAATACTTCAAAATCTCCTTCATACATATGATAGCTTTATCTTTGCTTCAAAATCTTTGTGTTTTCTTTCTCTTTGGAAAACCAAATCGGAAGAGTTCTGGAAATAAAAACTTTTCATAGGAAAATAATATTTCATCCCTCTTTCCCCGAAATGGCATTCTATGAAACATAACCTGTTGTTCCCAAATAGGAAGAATCCCTTCTAGAATCCTTGCTGTGATGACTCAAAGTACCAAAGGGCGATTTTCAAAGACCTGAAATTTAGTGCTTTAAATAAATTTTTAGTTATAGTCATGAAAAAAGGAGCACCTAGGGCCAAAGCTGACACTACTGCAAATCCCTACAATATCTACTCGATCTCAAAATGTTCCCTAAACTTGTAAAACCATGGCAAGACAATAAGCCCCAATTAAATATAGCCCAGGCTGCAAACTCACGACTCTGTTTCGCTGGCTGTATTCCAGGCCCGCAGGGCACGGAGTCAAAAAGCACGAAAGAACAAGGAATATGCTTACCCTTCATCAGTACAGTGCGGCTTGGAGAGAGGTTCAGAGAGGAAATGTGACCCGCTGGCATGCCCCATGGAGACAAAGCCAAATCCCAGTTCACTGCCTCTGAGCTACATCCATTTCAAACAAGTCAGTAGTTGTGCAGGCAAGTTTGCCAGGAAACCCAAGTGGGGGTCTGTGCTGGCCATCCTCAGAGCAATTCCTTGGGTACTATCGGTAGAGAACCACATCTTGATTTTGGTGAGATCTGGCCCTCATCACCTGCCAGGCCCAACTCCACCACTATACATAGTCTATGTGTCACTTACACCGATTGAATAAAGCACTATTTTAAACATCCACATTTGTGGGGAACAAAAATAACACCATCAACCAGCCCCTTCCAATATGAATGCCACCCCCACACGGAAAAATGTTCTTTCCTCTGAATAGGCATGTGGGTAGGTATGAAGTGGGAGCCCCGAACAACTGAAGCATCCACCTTCTCACACTTGGGATGTGAACTCATAGCCATCTCCCAACAACTCCCTCTGACCACACCATTGCCATTAAAAACACTACCAAAAGAAAGACTGGAAATATCAGGAATAAGAGTATGGATATAAAGTCAGAACTCTAGGCAAAGACAGAAGAAAAGAAAAGGAAAAAATGGCATAATAATCTTGGTTTCCTAGTACTAGTCATAATAATAATTACAACTAAGACTTAAATAGTGCTTACTACATGCCAGGAACTACTTGAAGCACCTTTTAAATGTGTATATCATTTAACCTCGTAAGAACCTGATGAGTTAGATATAATTATTGCACTGATTTTGTAGATGGAAAAGCTAAGGCACAGAATTGTTCAAAAATTATGGAGCAGAGTTCACATCCAGGCAATCTGGTTACAGAGCTTGGATCTTAACGATTAAGCTACACAGTCTTACTGACTTCTACACTCACATACTATACAGGGTACCCAGATAATCAATTAGAAGAAGGAATTTATCCAATAGGTAATTTTATCTGCATGACCACAAATAAACCATGTAACAGTTTTGAAGTTTTTTTTTTTTCATATAACCAACCCGTGTACATATTAAGTTCTTAGGGATTAAGTAACATGATCCTATAAATAAAATGAAATAAAATATTGTTGGCTTCTTCAGGCAAGCAGAGTGTTTTTCTTTTGCTCTGAGGTTGATCGTGCCTTGGCTGATAGATCCTGAAGATGGCCTCAAACACTGGGAAGCATACATACCCCATAGTTGAATAGAAGGCAGAGTTTCTGCCCATCAAAGCAATTATAGTCTAGGGAGGAATTTTTCCAGCACTTTCCATATGGCCCTGTCTGTCATGACAACACAACAGATTTCAGCAGAATTTCTCCCAGCAGTTGGCAAACTACAAAATTGTAAGGTCAGATGTCCCAGATGCAGGTTAAATCATAACTTTAGTACCCCCAGTTCTGAAAAATCTCCCTCCAGAGTCTTGCTCCCTCAGAGAGCACAGTCCTAGCTAAGCCTCTCCAAGAGGCCAAACACAGAGGGCTGTTCTAAAACAGGTACTTACCTTCAAGATATCTGTGTAGCTCTCTTTCTGCTGTTTTATCTAAATGAATGGCAGTACAGGAAAAAATTTAAAGGGAAAACTTTTTCAAATAAAGTCAATTTCCAAAAAATCAGTTTTAATTCGAACCACAATTTCTTCAAAAACTTGGAATAGGACAGACTCTACCTATTAAAAGAAAAAAAGTCCATAAATGGAAAAACAGTGACCAGATTTAGGGTAAAACAAGAACTTGAAACTTCTTGCCTCCTGGCATTTTCAGAATTCTGGGTCATTTTTTGTTACAATGAAAATAGATGCTCTCAGTTCTGCTGAAATAACTTTCAGTCCTTTGGTAGCCATAGGGCCTTTTTATTCCTTAATGTGACTACAGTCATTTTTTTTTTTTACAGATGAACTCAGTGATTGCCTACCTGATCTCACTTCTTGAGCAATTAACAGTGACTAATGTTACCAGCATTAACCCAGGGTAAGTGGGCCCACTTACTAAGCCAGGCAAGGTATACTTGGTTGATAACTTTATATGGGAATTCAAAGAGCAACAAAGGAAGTGACTCAGCATCATTATTTTTATCTCTGTAGAGAAAGTTTCTCAGTATTCCCTGAAAGTCTTGTGAAATGTATCACTGTATGTAAAACTTTAACATGATTAAAGAAATAAAGAATGAAAGCCAGATCATCTGCCAGTTAGGAAAAGGATATAATTATATTTAGGGTCTCTGACAGTGGCTTAATGGGATAAATAACATGTCATCGAAAAAGAAGAACGGTTTATCAAAGGTAGACCAAGACCAGAAATGAAGAGAGAGATTAAATGCAAACCAGAAAGGAGAAAAAGGACTTTCCAAACACAGACGTTCTCAGATTCCCTGGGATGAGTGAGGGGTATACTTTAATTGCTTTAAGTTGTGTAAGACTTTCCATTAGCACTTACACAGTTATTTATGCACATTGGTGTGAAAGAGGGTTTTTCTTTTCTTTTCTTTTCTTTCTTTTTTTGAGACAGGGTCTCACTTACATTGTCCTAACTGGTCTTGAACTCTCAATCCCCCTGCCTCCGCCTCTAGAGTTATTGGTATTACAGGTGTGTATCATGGCTCCAGGAGGAAGAAGGCTTTTCATCTGGCCAGTGCTTAATGCCCTGTGGACAGCTGTTTCTCTCTGGCCCAGGTAGAAATAACATTTGAAGGAAAGCCACCTTGTTACCTTTTGTTGCTGAGGGTGAGAAAGGGTATTATTTAGTTTTTGAGGTAAATGTTTTCCATGTTTTGCTTATCAGTCCTCTCAATCATACCATGAAAGAGCAATTATTATTCCCATTTTATGCATAAAATAATTGAGGATGAGTGAAGACCTGTGTCCTATATAACCTTTACAATTAATAGGAAGTGTCGGAGCCCTGATGGCAACCCAGCTCTGAGCAACTCAAGCCCATGCTCAGTTGGTGGTTGAGCATTCAGTCTATGAGGTGGAGGTCACAGGGCCAAGCCTACTGCTGGCCACCACCACAACCAGCTGCCTGTACACAGCACCAGCTGGTCTCCATGGAGTCCAAAGAAACAGAGTGGCAGGATTTGTATAAGACTATCCCTGTGAATAGAAAAACAGCATGTACCGTGAGGATGAATAAGTAGCATCATTTTCTTGTGCAAACAGAAAAGCACCTTATTGTAGAGTCACATTCACACGGTAGATACAACCCCTTAGCCATGCCCTTAAAACTTGGAAGGACAGAAAGGAACACAGTTCACCACCAGAAATAAAATCTTAATAACACTTAAGCCTGCACACACAGGCCTCAGGTGGCACAAAATAGGTTTGACTTTTCCCCTTAAGCCACGATGCTCTGTTTTCTTCTCTGGTCTTCCTCCTCCTCCTCCTCCTTCTGCTTTTTGAATGGTCTTTTTGGCAGTTTGTTGTCTTCTCCCTACCCCTACTCTTTCTCTCTTTCCTTCTGGCCCTGACTTGTTATCTCGGGCCATAGTTTCCATTAGGTTTCTCCTAAGGGAGCTGTGGAGATTTTGATGTTTCAGATCTGACTGGATAAAGGAAAATGATCCCTTCCAAACCAGCCTCAAGGTGGAACATCAGCAAGCAAACAAATCTTTCTCTACATCATACTTAAAATAATCTAACTCTCTTGGTCCATCTTGCCCATGATCTCTGTTATCCTAACCTGCATGATGTAGGAACCAGAGAAGAGACTTACCAAAGGTCCCTTCCCAGTCTGGGAAAGTAGCACAGAGAAGATGCCTTATTAGGCTTTAGCAAATTACGGTCAATTTTTTTAAGTTGGCATTGAAACAGAATTTAATTAACCAGCCAACTCAGYTGCCTGACCACAGAATCATGTGGATGACTTATTGCTATGATTCTTAACAAGCATTCTTTTTTCCCTTTTATTCTTGATATTATAACTTGGGACCTAAAATCTTGTTTCTGTCTTCATCTGCTTTGAAAAATGTTTATTTTCCCCAAATTTCTGATTTTAGACATCCACAATTTCAAATATGGACCTCCAAAAATTAACTCAATATTTTATTTTTCAATATTCCATTTCCTTTGAATATTTACAGTAATCATAAATTATTTAACATCTCATTTCTTCCCTTGCTTCAAATCACACCTTCAAATCTGCTCAACACTCAAGACCTAAGATGCAAATTAAAGCAACTTTTGAGAAAACAATCTGACCTTTTCTGTCATATAGAATAAGAACATGAAAATAAATTTTTTTTCTATTATAAGAGAAAAACATTTGTGGAAACAATCCAAACAACTCTGAGCTACTGAATGAGAATTTAAGAGTACAACCATCCCTTTGTTCAGTCGTATCTTCCTACATATACAATTTTGGTGTTTAGTGTTCCATAACATTTTCTATGTTATTTATAATTTTATGTTTATTAAATATCTAACACTTTATCTTCATGTTTTAATCATCACTTCCACCTGGGATCTTCCCTTTCCACTGTATCTAAAGTGGGACTCAGAATGACCTTGTCATGTCCCATCACCTTATGCATTACACTGTTCACCAATTATAAAAACTCTTGTTCTGGTTTATTGCCCATCTTTCTCATCAGAATTTAAACTCATTGCAGGCAGGAATCATGTCTGACTTGTCAGTTGCTTTCATTTCAACATCTAGGACAATATTAGCTTCACAAAAGCAGAATTTTTGTTCTTTCTTTGTACCTTTATTTCTTTCTTTCATTTTTTGCCTCTTTTGTTTACTAATATTTTCCCCAGTGCCTAAGAAGGGCCTAGCATACAGTAGGTACACAATATATCTTTGTTACCTCTCCAATAACTAACCAGTAGGAACTCAGAAAATGCTCTTTTGCCTCCATTATTGAATCAATAATTAAATAGTTTATTACTTTTGTCTAACTGGAGAAAAGCTAGCAAAATTATTTAGGGAGAGTCCTCTTTAACGGAATATCTAAGAATGATTTATAAATAATTCATCAAAGCATTAAGATCTACAAGTGTTATTAAGACATTATTTATAGTCACATTTGAAGTCCTTAGAAACACTTAATACTCAAAAGTTAGCAAAAATTACCTTATTATCTTGTTTAACTTCTAAATTTACTTAGCAAAATACTACTTAAAATAAAGCAAATTCTAAATACCTTGTTATCAAATAGTGCAAATTCAGAATTAATAAAACCTAAATGATGACTTTTGTTTTATAATCCAACTCAATGGTTAACAAGTCAAACTCAGAATGGGCCTCTTCAGAGTATGCTATTTTCCTTCGGGTTATATATATATATATATCAGGCACAAGCCTCCCAGTCAAAAAGGGATCGCTGAATGAATAGTCTTTCAAAGCTTAGAAGTTGTTAATCGAGAAAGATGGTTTACTTTGAGCTGAGAACTCTGACCTTATCCTGCCAGCAACCCCGGGTGACCAAGGATGCAAGGAGATCTGACTGTCGCTGTGAGCATCAAGGCTTAGTGGGATTACAAAGGAAGGAGAAATCAGCCAGATACATTTCAGGCCAGCAGACCCTTCTTGTATTTATGACAACATGTTTTCCTAGTAACAGTTTATTTTGCTGAAAGCATTTAAATAAAAACCTCCAGAGACTCTTTTGAGAAGGTGGTTTTGCATTCCCCAGTCAAACACCTGCCTGATTTTAATGTGCTACTATTTTAGTCTCCATAAGCATATGCTCCCTTCCATAAGACACAAGCTGGTCTCTGTATATTTATCATCCACACAGGCTCTAAAAATAGAAATAGGTGCAGAGGATTGTCCTGGCTATCTCTGTGTGTCTTCAGCAGCTAGGGAAGCAAACTCATGGACAAGAAAACCATTTTTCTCCATGCTAACTCAACACAACACACTTTTGATATGATAGCTCACAAACTCTTTGGAATATTTTCCCTAGCTGAAAGGTCTTCTAGCCCAGTTGTCTCTCTGTTGTCTTAGTGTGACTAAAACAACCTCAGCACAACACTGTATAAGGCCAAACAGTTCAATCAAAACACTCCTAAGCTACTCTACCCTCTCCTCCTTCTCTATTCCTAGTGAATTCCAGGATCAGACAGGGAGAGAGCCCACTTCCTTAACAATCACACTTGTATTAGTGTTGAGACCAGGAGACATACTCCATTGTGCCTTCTCACTCCCCAAAGGGTCATTTTAATTCATGATGGGACCACAGGCTGCTCACTGGTTGGACTTCTGAGACACAACTTAAAGTAAAAAGCAAGAAAGGCCAAAATTGCTTTTGGAAACCCTTCAAGGTTCCCATAGGTCTGATTTCAGAGTTTTGAGTATACAATTCTGTATAATATAATATGTGACTGCACATAATTATATATGGTATGTAATACATAAGTGCACATTTATTCAGCAAAGAACACTTTGCAAACTAACATTTTACAAGGTTGTGTTTCCCACCCCAGTGGTTGAATTTACATAAATCAAATGCACTTGAACTCAAGATGACTCTGCTTCAGGGGTTAGATAAATCTTTTGGCCTCTCACTTTTCTTGTGTGGCCTTGCTTCCTGCTCTATGTTTGAAATAAGTCCATTTGGAATCAGTTGGCTTTTGGTGTGGTGATCAAGTTTTTTTAAATCAATTAAATGTATTTTCCATCCCTTATTTTGTGGTATGCAACCAAATTAAATTTATGTAAAATGGCTAAAAGTGAACTCCTATTTTTGTGCATATCTGCATGTGTAGTGGAAGAGAAGGGCAGGAAAGTACCGGGTTTTCCAGCTCCTGAACGAAGTGTTTATACCTCTTGTATACACACATAACCTTTTGCTGGGGATAGATATGTCTTCTCAGTTTGCAGAGCTGTGGGTTTTTTCCAGCCTTTACTGCAACCGGCATGATGAAGACAATGCTGATTACTTGGTTGCTCAGGCAATGGCACTGTGGAGAGATAAAACATGATCTCCCCTGTATCCGGTAGTGGACAACGTAGAACCTTCTGCATGAGACATGAAGTAACCCTGTAAAATGGGGGAAATGATAGCTACTGGGATCTAATGAAGATTAAAGGAAGTAATACCTGTGAATGACTTAAAACAGTGCCCAGCACACAGAGAGCTCTCCACTGTTGTTAGCTGTTACTGCTTTTATTCTTGGTCTTGTGCCAACAGGCATCCTGGGAAGGAGTTTAGGTCTTTTTTGGAACCTTCTAGTGATGTTTTCATAACTTAGTCACTCAAGATACTCCAAAGAGATATCAGAAGCTTGGTAGAGTTTACTTCTAATGGCAGATATTTATTTAGAAACAAAAACAATTCCACCAAGACTTTTATCTTATGTAGTCTTTGGGGAGAAAAGATACGGGGTTGTAGTTTTCCTGCCTGGAAATGAGGAGAAATCTGTAGGAACAAGGATTCTATAGGTCATTTAGTTCAATCCACTTTAAAAATGATAAAACTGAGAACAAGAGAGGCACAAGGTCACAAAGATTTGTCACTACCAGTGATAAGGATGTCTTCTTTCCTCACTTGTCAAATTCTATGGAGGACGAAAACTCAAAATCATGTTTAACTATGAGATTAAAATATAGTCCAGTCATCCTTAAAAAGTGAACTCTATGTAGCTTTTTAAATTAATCCTACTAGGAAGATTTAACTTATAAGGTTTACAGATACTTGGCCAAAATATATTGGAACATCTCTAGAAAGAGTTGAATAGTTGGTAATTTTCATTATATTATCTCTTTAATATTAGGCCACTTCTCTGCAAAAGAGTAATCAGTAGAATTGAATGACCAAACTTATATTGCTGAAATTGTGCCTCAGTTGACTCAACAGTATGTATTCCTATCATGGAAATTCCTACAGTATACCTGCTTTTTATGGGCTATAGAAAATGGCAGAAAAGCTAGAAAATGTGATTTGTTGCAAAATTAAGTGATTATTATAGATGTAATTGTGCATATGCAAGAAGAAAGCACAGGGCACTAACATACCACCATGATTCATAAACACAGAGTATCCCCTGGAGGTCCGTAGGGTAACAGTTTGGTCTCAGCTTGCCTAATATGAGCTACTGAAAACTTTAAGAGGTAGAGACTAGTAGGAATTCTTTGAGTCATTGAGGTTGGGCTTCTGAAGAACATTGTGAGACCCATTTCTTTTCTTTCTCTCCTTCACTTCCAGCCATGAGACGAGCAGTTTTGCTCTACCATATAACCCCACCATGATGTGTTACCACAAAGCCAAAGCAACAGAATCAAGCCATCATGGACGGAAACCTCAACCTGTGAACCAAAATACTTCTTTTCTCTTTGTAGATTGTTTACCTTGGGTATTTTGTTATAGTGATAGAAAGTTAAATAAAATTACCTACACGTTAAAAACAAGGATATTTAAACCTTCTCTATAGCCATTCTAAGGTACTATTGTGTTTATTTTCAGGAAGCCTTCATAAACTATTTTGACTAAAGAATTTAGACAAAAATAAATTAATTTAAATTTTTTCCCTGGATAGTATCCTTTAGCAGTCATTTTTTTCAACAACTTTCTTATTTCTCCCATTCCCTTATTTTTTCAGGGATAAGTGGATCCTAGGACCTACCAATATCATGCTGTCAATGCAGATAGCCTCATCTTGGATTTGAAAAGAGCCATAACAAATATAAGGGCCAGCAAGATCTCCTGAAGAATACTGTATATTATGTTCCTTTGTATGATAAATATTTCTTGGACCCTACTGATCATCCATGTACTCCTAGCTTTAGCATAATTTTGCATATAGTGATGCAAATTGAATTAAGATTAAGATTAGAGCTGTTCTTGTAAAAATAACAGTGGAAGTTTTTATATGGAATGATTTTTGGAATAGATGGGGGCATATAAAGGAATTCAGAGGAAGGCAGACTAGTAGGGAAATAGAACTCTTCATGGAAGCCATATGACCACTAAGAGAATCCTGGTGCTGTGGCCAGCTCAAGACAGAAAAGGTCCCCGTCACTTGGAAGGGTAGATCCCATTGTTACCATCATGTTGGTAAATATATCTCAGGGAAAATTAAACAGATCAGGCTGAAGGGAAGAAAGACATCTGGTAGGGTGTGTTTTCTGGGTTAGCTGTGCAAACAGTCTGATCTGGTCTGGTACATTCTTTGACCCTTGTGTCTGGTGCCCTTGAAAGCCAGGATAAACCCAGTAGAAACGAACCATGAAGATTCAGACAGAGTCAGAGAGAATTGACAAAACTTTATATTTGAGGGATTTGTCGCTAAAAAATGTCCTTACTTAAAGGACTCAAAGTTCTAATCATGGAGATGGTCCCAAGCACCAAGGCCCAACCAAAATGAAGAGAAAAATGATAGCACAGCAAGGTAGTAGCCAGGAGGACCAGATGAGGACGAGGGAGAGACTAGATAGGGGACATGGCTGTACCCCAGGAACTGTGAGTGATTTACCCCTATCAAGCTTTACCCTCCCCCCTCCACCTGTGATATCAGGGCTCCTGTGAGAGTTATAATGAGCCCTTAGATTTAACAACAAGAGGCACGTTGTTAAACACAAAGGTCATTTCTCAGTAGCATTTGACATGGCTGACCATTCTCTCATCAGTTCCTGTAGCTATCATTGTTTGGCTTCCAGGAAACTTCAGTGGGTGTTCCTCCTGCCTCAATAATTGCTCCTTCTCAGCCTCTTGAACTTGTTCCTTTCTTCTCGGTCTCTGGTCTACTTTTCCTCTCCACATACACATACTCCCTTTGTGCTCTCACACCGTCTCCTGACTCTCAGCATGATTTACATACCAATGATTTTGAGTGAATGTCTCCATCCTAGCCTCTCTCGTGAACTCAGATTCATGTCTCTACTGAGGTATCTCAATTTGAACTTTACCTTATCCCCAAACCTGTTTCAACTTATCCTTCCAGACTTTCAGGTGGAAAACCTTGGTGTAAACATTGACCCCTTGCATTCTCACTTCATTGTCAATGCATTAGAAATACAGTTGGTCTGTCTGTACAACATAGGTCCACTAGTCTGAATTGCAAATTTTATTGACTAGTTCTCTTTAAAGCCCAGCTTAGATGTTAATACCCATGCGAAGCCTTAACCAACTTCTACCCCACCCTATGCCAAACTGGTTGCTACTTCTTATTTTCACATCTTTCCTATACCTTTTACAATATTCACTGCACAGTGTGAAAATTAGAATGTACATCTTCATATAGTCATAAATTTGTGATTTTCCTGCTACCCTATGAGGACCCAGAGCCTAGTGAATATGTTTTATTGATCTTTATCCTTATAACTAAACAGATTCATATGAGCCCATGGTAAACAATTAGCAAATAAATAACAATGATTTTAGGTCAAGTTTAGTTTATGTGCTTTCACAGTTTTTAAATGTTTTTTAAGTAAAGGTAAAGGATCATCATTTCTGCAATTTAAAAAAAAATAATGCAGAAGAATTTAAGTATAATGGCTTGTGGGGGTTTTGTTGTTGGGTTTTTTGTTTGTTTTGTGTATGTGTGTGTGTTTTGTCGTGTTGTGTTGTGTTGTTTTTTACCAGGAAAAGGTTCAGAACATAAGCCCTGAGTTTCTGGCCTTGAACCTTGAGTGTGTCTTCAGGTTTAAAGAAGTAGATTAATCCAGTTGTGCCATAAGCCTGAAGCCTCTGGAAGCTGGCCAGAGCTGCCTTAGAATTTTCCTCTTCTTTTTCTCTTTCTATCTGCCAGGCTAGCTGAGTGAGTCCATTTGCAGAATCAAATGAAAATCAATCCCTTTTATGCAAACCTTCCTGAAGTGGCAAGGCCATGTTTGGTCACAGGAGTGGAGGTTCGTGCGGTGGAAGCTCTGGTGGTGATTTCTCCCTGTGGAGGGCTCGCCAGAGTCCTCCCTCCACATAGCGATGAAAGGGAGGATCAAACAGCTCTCAAAGCCAAGCTCCATTAGACTCGCCTTTTCTAAATATAGCATGCTTCAATAAACACCATTGTGAATTTGCAATTTGCTTGCTGGGAAGTACATTGCCACCTCCACCAAAATCTCATGCATGCATGTATATATTTACATCTTATTGGACCTCATTTCATCAACTAGAACTATCTGGGAATTCATTTTTTTCTTTTATTATTTGATATTCAGTCAGTTCCTGCTTAGTCTTTTAGATACATAAACTGTAAGAAAAAGACCTCTGACTTGGGGCAGATTGAACGAAAGTGAACAAAATTTAACCAAAGATAAGGCTGAGATCTCGGCAGTTCTTGGAAAATCCCACCTGAGACCAGGTTGCTGAGATCCACTGCCCTGAATCCACCAAGTGACACTTTCACCAACTAAAGAACAGGTCACTCAGATTAAGACGGTGCATTGCTTTATACAAATTTTCCTGAGCATGTCTGCTGGTGCAATTAGGAAGATGTGTTCCGTTTGATTTTCTGAAAGAAAACTTTTCCTCTCCACATACACATTCTCCCTTTGTGCTCTCACACCATCTCCTGACTCTCAGCATGATTTATATACCATATACTGGTAAAAGTACTATCCTTATTTTTGGTTTATGCTCATCTTTGATTCTGATGGAAATGAAATCTCTTTTCTGAAGCCAACACCTGATCCTTGAGCTTCTGTTCTCTCTCCCCTAAAAAAAGACCAGGAGAGAAAGCACATCAGGTGTGCAAAGCTCAGCAATGATTTAGGATGGGAACTAAGGAACTTGATCTCCAGTGGAAGCCATGGAGATCACCATGGGAGAATGTGATGATTTGAGTTGACTTTAGCCCAAGAGGTCCTCATGCAGATAGGAGAGACGGGGCCATCCGAGCAACTGCAGAGGGACAGAGTTGATGCTTTTGTGTATGGTCTGAAACCAGCTTTCCCCAACTGTTGGGTATACTGCTTTAGTTTGGGGTTTTTTTTGGGGGGGGAGAGGGGCTGGGAATTGAACTCAGGGGCACTCAACCACAGAACCACATCCCCAACTCTATTTTATATTTTATTTAGAGACAGGGTCTCACTGAGTTGCTTAGTGCCTCACAGTTGCTGAAGGTGGCTTTGAACTCATGATCCTCCTGCTTCAGCCTCCTGAGCCACTGGGATTATAGGCGTGCACCACCTCGCCTGGCTTGCTTTAGTTTTTGCATAGAAAAAAACTCAGAGCCCCAGTACATCATGACTCCCTGTATCATTTGCAAAATTTGTTATTTTTTAGAGGTTATTTGTTCTGCTTCTGCCAATTTCTACTTAGTTTTTCATGTAAACCAAACAAATTAGAATAACAACTTTAGAAAACAAACTTTTCAGTCTGGAAACAGAAAAAAGAAATAGGTATTATACAATGTTAGCTAAATACGAGAGAAGCAATAACAATAAGACAAAAAAGGAAGACAAAATGTCTAAATTTTGTGGAATTTTTGTGGTTTTCTTTTTTTTTAATCATTTTTGCTTTTTGTGACTCTTAGCTATATGTTTATGCTGCATGTGTTAAATCATTCCATCTTCAAAATAAGCAGAAACTAGTGTTTCACACATTTGTAAAATGAGAATCCTGCTTTAGGAAAATCTCTCTTGACTTTTTTTTTTACTCACAAAATATAAATTAGGATATGGTTTTCTTCTTCACAAGGAAAATCCTTTAAGTTAGAATTATGCAGAACAATCTTTTTACAAATAACTGTCATGTGGTGGAAAAAATCAAAACATCTCAATTAATATCCTGTCACACTATTTATTAGTACCTTGAGCACTTAAGTCCAATAAACTTTTAAGCTTCTATGTTCTTTTCTATAAAACAAAGATAACAACACCTACTACACATACTTGTTAGGAGGAAATGAGACAAGTACCTACCCTGTGCCATGAACATATATTTACTTGGCACTAATATTAGGATCTACTTGATATGTGTACTTTTACTTGCTACTTTTCCTTTGTATCAAAATGATACATTATACTGGATTCCATCAAGCATATAATAATTGGATTTTTTTTTGTAAACTACCATTGTTGCTCAGTTTTAGAATATCATAATGATGAAAAGTATTTAAAAGTAAAATTTCATTTGTTTGTAACCCACAGCTTCTCAGAAACATATCTACTGTGTAAAGCGAAGGGCAGATTCACATATTCATTAACTTCATGTATTTCAGAGTGAACACAGGGTCTACTTCTAGAAGACGAGCCATCTTTACTAGCTGATGTGAAGTCAAGGAACATGCCTGCATCTCAGCCTTTCTGAACAGAGAATGAAGCAAATACATCTTGGTTTGTGGGTGCAGATTGTTGAGGGGCTGGCCACTCTAGAGGCTCTTCCAGGTTCCTCTGCAGTCTGTAACCTGAACCCCTGTGTTGGGTACCTTGGTGAGGTGTTTCTGGTGGGACTAATTTCTGGTCTTCCAAGCTACACCACAATGAAGGAGGTTCTGCTTCAGTCTGCTTTGATGCACAACCTCCTTGTGGATC